TACTTTACTTACAACTTCTTACCCTCCTTTCGAGTCATTCGATCGTCTCCTATCAAAACCACGACTTCCCATGGGTATCAAACAGTGTTCGCTCTTTCTTAAGTAAGTGGCAGCTCTTGATTTCAACATAAATACCGAACGATTCACCAAGAATCAACATTCGAGAGAACTCAAAACAACCTAACCGGAAGTACTTCCGGAGAGTCTTTTGTCACCAGTTTCCCCCGAAAAACTTGAATCAATCTCGTGCCAGTCTTAATAAAGTGGCTTGGATACTCGTCCAGGTCAGGCAAGCAAGCATGTGTGCTGTAGCTGGCGGGCCGCTGTGTGGCATCACATAGCTTATGTAGTCCTCAGCGTAGCCTGGACAACACACTCCATTGCAGGACTACCGGATGTTTCCTCGCACGAAATTCGTGACGAGAAAAGCGGATAAAATATGATGACAATGGGCTCAGTTAAACGATCCATAAATGACCCTTCGTGGCCACTTAGGAACGACAGCAATAACGACATCAAAGATACGCGATAATCTTACCGACGCCTAATAGTCAGATTATGTAGTCCGGCAGTGGGTGGATGACGTGGGCGATGATTGTTTTCATAAAGCAAAGCTATGGTTGACAAGTTTTACATGGCCAATTTTGCTGTCAATTGCTTTAAACCGGTAAGAAGTATATTCCACGAGAGGTTCACGTTGTGGTGCAGTGGTTAAGAGACCATACCTTTGGCCCAGGAATAATATTTCGAAGCGCTCCGAGTCTCGTGTCAATCATTCGAATACTACGGGTAGTCCCCCTTCCCTTATTCCAACCATTCTCTGCACGGATAGCGAATAGAGAAAAGATCAATAAACATAAACACAAAAACGAAAAACGAAAAACGCTCGAAAAAGTATTATATTAATCACTACTCACTCAGAACCGGATTTCTGTGCCAAATTTACGTATATTTAAATTTTGCGCTTGGTAAATCAGATTTTGTTCCTTTTGCGCCTTAAAAGCTGAATAATCTCCCACAATTTGCCTTTACGGTAGCTACTGTATTATGGGTACTTATTAAATCTTAGCTGTTGGTTATTTCGTGAATTTATTTGAAATACAGTTAACAAACTTTGCGCTAGATAATTCAGATTTTGTTTGATTTTGTTCACTATGGAGTCTCTGTTGCTTAGTGGTAGAGTGTTTGAGCGCAGAATTATATGAGGTCTGAGGTTCGATTCCTTATTGGGACTAAGACAATTTTTCCAATATTTGTAAGAAAGGCCAGCAACGTTACCTCAACGAAGAGCTCACTTTTGAAATGAACACTGTCAAATGTAGTTTGGAAGCAGGAAAACGGTCAAAACAGAAAGTTACCTCGGCTTAAATTTTGTCCAAAAAAGTGATGAAAATTAAACAGACTCAGTAAGTTGTAAACTATGATGAAATGACTTAATGAGGACTTTTCTTATTTTTACTCATTTGATTTTGATGAAAGACTCACAAATACATGGAAAGGTGAAAAAAAAATTTATTTACGAAATTTTTTATGTGTAAAAAGTTCCTATTCATATGGATAAAAATCAATTTTCTCTTAGTTTAAGAAACTAGTATCTCCGATAAGGAAAATATCTTCTCTCAGAGCTCATCAGCTATGACAGGTAGCTCACAGTCGTTTAATAGGTCGTAAAGATCTCCCACAGTT